ATCGTATGGCCAATTAAAGAATGTCGTCAATATATCAACACTATAATCATAGTTAAAAAATTACAAAGCGCTGATACAATGCAACTGGACAACTACATCCGGAAATCCCTGCTACTGTAAAAAGAGTAATATATTCTATAATTCCCCAAGTTTCCGGATTTCACAACCCAATTTATACAGTTGATAACAGACTGATTCAAGAAATCCCTTTAACACCAATTGGTATGCTTGTCGAAGCAGTACTAACTCTAATATATTATGTGTAATCTAGGTCCATAACAAACATAAAACATAAGCAATAGTGTAAAACATGGCTCCCATGATGTGAGGTCAGATTGAAAGTGCTCATCATCATCGTTCTGATTGTTTTAACCGTTCTCTTCTTTAAAAAAAGCAAGATCGCGAGTCTTGCTCGAGCACATTTTAGTAGAAAACTTTGGATTGTGAAAAAGTAGACAGTTGAGAACATTATTTCTCGTTTCATACGCTTATTTTCGAGACTACCGGTTGGCCTAATATAGAGCTATCTATATTCACCCTATTTCGTTAAATGTTATGAAGGAATGGTAATTGAATTTTCCCACAATTATATGATTAGGCTTCATGTTTCCATTGCGTTTCGTATAGACTCGATTCCCACAAGGTGTCCCCATTCAAAGTGGACGGCAGTTTCAGCCTCGCCTAGGTCTCATTTCATCCCAAATGGACTCGAACCCTGGTTGTAGAATGTCTAATCCCGACATATTAGCACATACACCAAACTGCCAGCAGTGCCCTTGGGTCAAAGGACAGATGTAAATTTCAGCGAGGGCCAGGCGCTTCCTAAAAAATATCACATTCTGCAGTGGGAGTGTAGATGAAGCAATATTGTATTTGCTATAGCAATCGACCACACTACTTATTTATCATTTCATAAGTAGGCTATTCGAGATCTCAGCAAATCTGATATAAGAGCTGTAACTTATGATTATTGAAAAATTAAATTACTAACCCTTCATCAACTTGAATGAAATAGTGTGAATTTAGCTCTTATTATTATTATATTAGCATTGGTCCAAACATAAAGCCTGAATCAGCAGGAGCTGAATCACGGCTTTGGTATTCTGAAAAATATTTTTAGCCTGCAGGTATCGGCAGGATACTGTATAGAGGCTGCCATACAAATAGTCAATTCACACCGACATAAAGTAGGCTGACCATTGCATGCTAGTGCAGGCGTCTTTCAAGAATTCCACCAATGTAAGGGTGAGGTAGTCAAATGGTGATGAATTAGGGCGACAGGATCTTCTTGCCACAATCGAGGAGTAAAAATAGTTTATGAGATGTATTCATCCAATTTCGTTTAAAGTGATGAAAGACTGGTATATAAAGAATTTTCCCACAATAATATGAGTTGAGCTGACGTTTCCATGCAATTTCACAGAGCCTTGCTCTCCCAAAAGTTGTTCTCATGCAGGGAAAGGCTATGTGAAATTAAATAGAATCGTCAGCTCAACCCATAGGATTGTGGGAAAATTATTTATCTACCAGTCCTTCATCAGCATAAACGAAATTGGGTGAATACAGTTCATATTACCGATTTATTGGTAGTCACGAAAACAATACTTAATGCGAAAAATAA